GGGGCAGGAGCGGAAAAGGATGAGAGACAGCTGTTGGCTGAGGTTCAACATCCATAAAAGCTGCTTCTAATAACTCGTAGACTAAAGTGCCGCTTTATAATCTCCTCATTATTCTCTCTCAGGTAGGAAAGTGGTCACAGTTACTTCAAATCATAGTGAAATAAAAAAGGAGGACCCTTGGGGTGAGGGTACAACCTTTACCACCTATTACTTCAGTACAGCATAAGGCTATCTAGTCATAAGAGCTTGGAACTTCTTTTTACAAAAGCTTCCATGTTGTACAATGGAAAGCAGAAGGCTACAGTTTGAGGAGAAAGTTAACTCCTCAGACCCTAGAGTGTTCACTAACAGAAACAAAGCAGACAAAACCATTGTGAATTTCCCCCCCTTGATCCTTTATTTAAAAATAGACTCGTTTGACTTCAGCACTAAAATCTGCCACAGAACTGCTTTTTGAACTTATTTATAAACTGAGAATTGTCACCGTATTCATTAATAAGGTAAGCAAAGACATAAAATGCATAGTTCCTACCTGTCAAAAACTGCACAGCCTTTAAATCTGAAGGAATGTTTCTTCGTTGCATTTTCAAAACATTTTTTTCTGAAAGTCTTTGTTGCAAGGAAATCAGTATTAGAATTGGAAACCAACCTGGCTTAAATATGTTAAACATGTGAACTTGAGCTCATTTTTCACTGGAATTAATGTTGAGCAGCATCATTTAAATGACCTTTATTGGGTACACAGTGTTGTACTCTTTTGACAAAGCCTTTCTATTTACATGACTTACTTTAAATTAGGTAAGATGTCAGAATAAATAGAACAGGAAAGAAATACTTTCTTCTTTCCTTACATATATAAAACCTAGTCATGTTATTTATGTGTATCTGGTAAGGTATTCTGGGGAGATTGCATGGCTCTTATGAGATGTTCTTATTTTGAAAATTAATCTGCACAGGAAAGAATTCTAGAGTAAGTTAGGTGTAGTACTTGTTCTCTCTGCTCTAGTGATATTTTAACTGATTATAAAAAATGCTAGCTCTATTTAACCCTATAGGTGTAAAATATCAAATAAATATTGGGGACCAGATTGTGTCTGGGCCTAATGTTGGTAGGCAGTGGAACTAGGCAAGCTAAACTAAGCCTTTCTTCACCCTGCCCCTTTAACCACCTGTGTGAGTCAGACAACTGCAGAAGCTGTGCTTCAGGGAAAAAGACTGCTTCCTCCATGCTTCTCAAGTGGTGCTCAGGAAGTCGGGCTACTGTGTCCTCATTGCATTCTAGTTATAGAGTGTTGGTAATACTACAAAAGGAGTCACTTGTTCCCTTTGAAGGTATACTGCAGCAAATGGGTTTCCCCCTTTTCCACAGGTTAGTATGGCTTCATTCTATCCCTAACAGGAGTTTAATCTTCATAGCGCATTCTACCTCCTGAATATTGAAAAGATTGTGTTATTTATTTATATTCTGTGCATCAGCTAGACTACTTTGCAGAAGGATGTGAAGACTGTAACAGTGTAAGTCAGGAGTGGGCAATTATTTTGACTGGAGGGCTGCTTAATGAGTTTTGGTGAGCAGTCAAGGGCTGTAAGGGTAACCTGCCCCTTGACAGGTGCCTCACCTCCTGGTCACTATCTTGGGACCAGAAGTTCCACACCTAACCCCTGACCTTTGCTAGAGGAAGTCCCTCCGCTTGCCCTGGAAGTACTCCTTTTGGGAAGATGGGGAGTTCCCATCTTGGAACCGGAAAAGAACCAAATCATATATTAAAAATCAAATATCACTTTGTAACAGGGCGGGGACCCAGAATCGGCCGTGATCTCTCCTGGCGCCCCTACCATGCCAAGTTG